CGCGGTTGCCTGTCGCGCCGTCGCTTGCTGCTGCTGCTGTCAAAACCGCCGGTGGTCGCCGTCCATCGAGTGTTTCAGGAGGGTTGAGGTGCCGGTAGAAGAAAGAAAACGAAAACTAAAACGGGTGGAAAAGAAGAGGTTCACGAATGGGAGGGGATTTTGGGGGCTAGGGTTTTCTCCACGCTTTCTTTTGTTTTTACAAGAAGGGACACACTTGGGCTAGGTTCTTTTATTTTTCCCTCTTGTTTTAAAACAAGAAAAGCCCACTTACTTAGATACTTAATTTGGGCCCAACGGACCAGAACAATTATAAAGAAAACAATTTCCTCGTTACATAATAATTAGATACGTAAGTACACTTCAACACTCATAACAATTACCGCAGTAGCTCGAAATAAAATGAAATTAAATTAAAAAAATAATTTCTAAGAAAAGAGGCTCGGAGACTCGAGGTAAACTAACCTGAGTAACGCGGGGCGTGACAGGCTACATCTCGGCTAGAAGGAGGAGCTGATGAGTGGTGGGAATCGGTTATAGTGAGACAATCAGGATCAGAAGAATTAAGCCGGGGAGAATTCAAAAAATTGTTTAATGAAGCATACTACCCACGATCCTACAGAGATGCAAAAAGAAGTGAGTTCCTAATGCTAGTACAGGGGTCGATGACAGTTGCAGAAGACCAGAAAAATATGTAAAACTTTCAAAGTATGCCACCGCTATAATCGAGGATGAGATTGACAGGTGTAGACGATTTGAGGATGGGTTGCGATAAGAGATCCGAAGTCGTATTACTGCATCTGGATGGCATGACAATTCCTTTCTTCTTCTCAGTCCTAGCAGCCGCTTCTACTAAATGCCCAAACTCATGCTATCCAGATGCAGTAATACGACTTCGAATCTTTTCTCGCAACCCATCCTCAAATCGTCTACACCTGTTAATCCATCCTCAATTATAGTGATAACATGCTTTGAAAGTTCTACATATTTTTTCTAGTATTCTGCAACTGTCATCAACTCCTATACTAGCTTTAAGAACTCAATTCTTTTCGCATTTCTGTAGGATCGTGGGTAGTATGCTTCATTAAACAATTTTTTGAATTCTCCCCATCTTAATTCTTTAGATCGTGGTTGTCTCACTATAACCGACTCCCACCAATCACCAGCTCCTCCTTCTAGTAGAAATGTAGCCAACCTAACTTTCTTGTCTTGTAGACACCCCATCATATTAAAACATTTTTCTATCTTTTTCATCCAGGACTCTGCATCAATTGGATCTGCTGTCCCAGAAAAAGTGGTCGCCCCTAAAGCTTTAAGTCGCTAAATCTTGAAGTTTTTCTCGGGATCACTCCTCAACATTCTTATTCCAAGAGTAGCAATTCTTGCCATCACCCGTTCATCTTGGTCATTAATATTCTCTTGTGGATCTTCTAGTTGGAGACTAGTCTCGCCTACTACTTCTTCCTCCATTTCACTTCACCCACCAGGTACCTGCTGAGTTTCAAATTCTTAAAACTTACGTATTCTGCCACCTCAATGCATGACTTTCTATAACGTAATGCATATCAAACACTCAAAACATGAACTATAATGCAACTTCTTATCTAATGCAGGATCTTTATGCTCTGATACCAAACTGACACGAGTCGTCCCAAAACACCTACTAGTCCTAGAACGAGTCGCGCCGACCACAGACCCCGACTAACTATGGAGTTCATGGTCAACTTTTCCTTAACTTTGACCTGAACTTTGACTAACAAATTCTAAATGGATGCACAATAAATCAATAATCTCAACAGAACAACCATTCTTACCTCCATTCTAAACATTCCTTTCTATCAAAAGGGTGCAGATAAAATTTCTTACAAACTAACGAAATTTACATACAAAATGATATGCAACTCTTGAACTATTATGGGTGGCAGAAGCTGAACTACTATCTCCTTGAAATTCAGAAACTCAGGTACAGCTTAGGGGAAAAACATAGGAAAAAGAGTGAGCTGGAAAGCTCAATGAATGGTAAGTTGATAAAAAGTATTCTTGTGAAATTTATTTCATAAACAACTGAATTTCAAGCTTTGAAAAACATTATAAAACTGGAGCAAAGTTATAAACTTGAGCCACTAAAAATTCAGTAAACTTTCTCATAATAAACTTGTAACAACAATTCCTTTCTAGGCAAAACAAAAAGACAACCCTTGCCAAGCTCAGAATTTGGAATTCAGATTTGGCCCTAATCGCCCCAACATTCCCCTGCGTCCCCTGCGACCTAGTTACGCCAACTTCTCAACCTGCTTTAAAAACACATTCTAAAAATATATAAAACATTATTCTTTCAAACATAAAACAAGCTAGTGAAAACACAACACCACACATGCACCCATATTCTATTCTGGTCTACTGGCGTAGAGTAATATTAATAAACACAGCAGAATAATTCTGGTCTACTAGCATAGAGTAATCTTAATACGTAGAGCAGGATAATTCTCTCAACACGTCCCAAAAACCATTTATTTCTGGGTATACTATAGGAACACATTCATATAGCATATGGGTAATCGCCTGGATACAATAACATGGTGGTTTGAAAACCATTCTCATAAACCGTTCTAAAAGTATTTTCTTATTCTTTCTAATAACTTTTCTAACTTTCTCAAATCATTTCTAAAATATTTCTTTCTAAATACGCCTTTATGAAAAATTCTAAAATCATTTTCTGAAATCTCTTTCTAAATAACATTTCAAACATTTCTCCAAAATCGTAAAACATTTCTAAATTTTCAGACAAACACATTTTCTTTCATTCTCAGCAAAAATGCTAAATCATACCTAATATGTATAATTTCTCAGAAATTCTATATCAATAGATACTAGAAAATATTTAATAAAATAACCACTCACAAATCCTTTAAATTGAGTCGTCATCTACTCCAATTTCTGACTGACCTAAAATATCGATTGAATACCATATTAACTCATTTAATTCCAACATAAACTTAATTCAAACTTAAACCACAATATCTTCAAATAAAACAAATTATCAATTAAACAAACCATTCTCTTTCTTCATTAAATACCCACTTTCTTTTCTCTCCTATTGTCTTAAATGTGGGTCCCACAATAAATCATTTAATTTCTTCTCCTTTTCAAAACCCACTTGAATCTCTTTTTCCCTTAAGCATTTTTTTTGGCTTAATTTAAAACTACAAATTTCTCTCTCTCTCTTCCAACAACAACTCATCTTCTTCTTCTTTTTTCTCTCTTCATACCCACAAATTTTCTCCTTTTCTCTACCCTTTCTTCTTCCTTCCTCCTCTATGTTTTCTTTCTTTTTCTCAACCAAGAAACTCCTT